CCCCAAAACCCCAAAACCCCAAAACCCCGAGATGTATCTTTTGTTAAAATCGTGAAGGTAAAGAGATCAATTGAATATTCAGGTGCTTGTAGGACTAGATTCTGGGAGCTTGAATGAGTTGATTGATATCTTATTTTATATTTAGATTTTTATTAATTTAAAACAATCGAGAATACTTATAAAATGGATTAAGTGTATGACGAATTATTATAGAACAAGGGCCATCTTTCCTCATCAGATAACTCTAATTCTCAGAATTCAATGGGCTTTGACCAGTCTCAAAAGGTTTATTAACCGGAGTCGAGAAATTCAAACAATCAGTTTGGATTCGGCTCCTGGGTGGGAAGGGCTTTTCTATAAGACAACTAACTCGGAGCAGGCGCTTTCTAGAGCTCAAATTAGAAATAGCTCTTTACCAATGTAGAGGTTAATCTGCTGGTCCCCAAAGATCCCTCCAATGTGACTTCAAGCTTCAACTTGAACCAGTGGATCGAGGACCACATGGATAAGCTTGAGAGAATCCAATACTTTGTAAGTTTTTGTCTTTTAAAATTAGCTTCTCTCTCAGACTAAACATTTTTCAACCGAAAATCTTATTGTTATTATAGTGCGAGATTCCAAACTTTTGCAATGGAGAGACATTGCTGATGAAGTCTATTGACTACTTCAACCAACAGCTACATGAAAAAGGCAGTCCTCTCAAACTTTCAACAGACATACAGCACTTTCAGATGAGAATTGCTAAGAAAAAGAACGGCAAACCCAATTCAGATTACCCTAGTAAGTCATGTTAATATTGAATCTTCGATTTCCAATATTTTAATATCATAATCTAATAACCTGGTATAATGTAGAAATTGATTTGACTTAAATCGTTGCTGATATCGATTTCTCCATCTTCTGCATAGTTTATAACTCTTAAAGTATCACTAATGCATTAACTCTTAGTACCTTAAGTCGCCCTAGTCAGACTAAAGGAAAGGGTATTAGAACAACAAAAGGAAAAAATTCTCATGATATGTCAACTTAAAAAGATTCGGTCTTGACTTCTGGTTACGAAAGTCTAATGCTTTCCAAAAGACAAGAATCATCAAAAAATTTATCTTCAATACCATCATACTCCTAGATGGAAACTGTACAAACAGATGCGGGTTATATTCATCAGCATACTAAGAGCACCATGTCTGCTCACTCTAAAAATACACAGCACTAGGCCTGCTGCAATAATGGATGTCATATTTTCTGAGATCCATTTTTCTGTGATGACCTGTATCCCTCATCACAGTATTGCTAAAGATATATGTCCTATCCAATTTAATGTATATATGTGTTTATGATGGGCTGTGTATATAAGATACACCAGAGCCTTAAATTTTAACTATTATTTAACTCTTAATATTTAATAAGCCTAGATTCTATCCATCTTATTCAAATAATATCTAATATCATAACATCTATCATATAATCATATATGGGGTTTTGGGGTTTTGGGGTTTTGGGG